CCCCCCGCTTAAACAGCCAGGGTGGACTCGACGAGGACGGAGGAACCACAAAAGCAAGCGGGAAACCCGGCACTTTGCAGACCAAAGGAAGAGGAAATATCTTGTTTCGGTTCTTCTGTCCGGTGGTGGTTTTTCTGTGGTTCTTTGGTATGGCGCGGCTGATCAAAGGGAGACGTCAAGGTGGATTGCTGTGTGCTGTTTTTCTTTGGGACACTCGATCGATGTTCTATCGCACGGCGTCTGATAGATACCAAAAAGAAAATTTACGAGAGGGAATTATTGGACGACGAGGTACGAAAACGATATCCTGACGTGCAGGGAACCCGTCTGAACAAATCGGTGGCCTCGAAACGATTGTTGGACGGTCGAGAAAAGCTGTCTAATGTTTAGAGTTTTGACGGTTCACTTTCTCGAGGTCGACGGTGATACCGAGCAAGAGGTACCTTGGGCAAAAGACGAGTGTGCAGAGAGAACTTGGAAAGACCCAGGAACGGTTGACCAGAGCGGCACGGGTGTCAGGCTCGGGCGGAAGGCGCAGGGACGGGCACAGGCGGATGCGCAAAATGGAAGTGAGGACCTTGATGGCCAAATGTCGATGTAGATCCACTTTCGCACCTTGTTCTTACCTCACGGGTTTCTTATCAAAGACAACCCAGCACCTGTTCCCCTGCAGCTTCCGCATTCATGAAACAAAGACAGAGCAGCGCAAATCGACCAGTGCAAGGTATTCTGTAGTTATTCTCCATGATTCTATCCATCATGCGCAAGGACATGTGGATTTTAATCATGGTAAGCATCGCCCAAGTCAGCTACTTCCAACACAGATACATGCAACTATCGTGCAAGAAAGACTGGAGGTCCGCCAACGCACCTGCTTCGACTTTCAGAGTGAGGACCTTGATGGTTAAGCTAGTGCGGAGAACCTTGATGGCCAGCTTGCGGGCCAATGAGAGCCCGAATAAATTGGCACAAAATCTGATGGCGTGGGGCACCCGCGCCGAGCTAGCGCGACGGACCAAGGATAGTGCCAGTTGGGGAGCTGACAGCATCCAGGAATGAGGTGGGATGTCTTGACGTTGCGAGGAATGCGCTGGTTATTTGATATTCATCCAATGGTGAGGGATATCGCCGATATTGCTGGTATTGCTCGAAAGGGGCAAAACACCGACATAGTTAAACCATAATCATGAACATTGATTGGGGATTAATCTTCGTGTAATATGTTACGGCTGAATGAGTTGAGACATTCTAAGAGGAAACTGACGTTCAGCTCTCCTCCAATCTGAACCCATCTTAGACAAGGACGCACACGACTTCTATCACTGAAGTGGGAAGATTTTCTTCATATCTCCAAGAGTGGTACTGATAACTGTACGCGCGGTAGCCCTTTGAATGCGGGTGGCTTTCATCCACTGCCAAGAAAGCTTGGCTTAAGCCGTTTCTGCTAGTCAAGCTTCAGCCAAGCCGGTCGCTTGCTTCCGTCCATGATTTCATCATGAAGAACCCAATCGACCATGTCCCATTACTTACGGAAGTCACCAGAGACTTCGAGACCCAGAGCCACTTCTGAGTTCTGGTTTCTCCTCTCAGCTAACATTTCCGAGAGAACAAGTATCAAAGGCAACGTCGCATTCTCCTCCTATTCCATGCAGCCACCACGGCCCTTCCGACGCCATCCTGCATCGATAGCTGCGGCGTCACCTCGGATTGTGCCCAAGGAGACCCGTAGCCACGAAGCCGGGATCTGTCGAGTCCAACCTTGACAGGTAGTATAGAGTACTAGTGAACTCAGCCTCCCAGGTGCTAAGGATCTCGAGTGTGCAGCCGTGCCAGGATGCCGGGAACTTCTGCCACGCGCCAACTGCCTGTTTCTGCGACCGAGATGTCGGGAAGAACGTCGCATCAGGGAAGATTACCGGTGGGTACGCTGTAATGTGGCCAAAAAGACCATTGACTCCTTTTCATGATGAAAATTGGATTTCCACGCCCACCGTGCGAAACGGCGAGTCAAGCTTGCGCAGGTCGATTGCGCTGCCGAGACTGAACAGGAGGGACTTGACCCTCCCCTCCCACAAGACCCCAATCTTCATGTTCTGGTCCAGCCGCGCCTTGATGACGCTGCCGTATTCATCCGCGCCCTTGGTCTCTGCCGCCGTGCCGGCATCCGCCGCCGCCGCCTCTTTCGTCCTATCCACCGCAGGATCGTCCAATCTCCACTCCATCTTCGCCTGAAAGCTGCGTTCTCTCGGCTGATTCTTCCGTTCATGCTCTGGCTCTTCCACGACAAGCCTCGGCTGCAGCTTGGGTGACTCGGACAGCTCGTCGTCCAGCCTCCACTCTAGCTTTGCCTGGAAACTGCGATCCTTTTTGACAAAGCTCTCGGCCGAGAGCGCGGGCCCGAGGTTGCGGGTCAGGTTCTTGCGCCACAGCTCCATGCCCACGGACCAGTCGCTCTCGTAGCTGTACACGTTGAAGTCCATCCTCGTCGCGAGACTGCAGTGCTTGCCTGCTACTACAGCGTAGCTGGCGCTTATGTTGCCCATCAGGGGGTTGATCGTCATTGTCGCCGTCAGCGGGGTGCCGCGGTGCTCCGGGAGCGTCGCAAAGCGCCCGCCGAAACTGACGCCGCCCGACTTGTTAAGTAGGCCGTAGTAGATCTCCCCGCCGGCGCTGAAGCGTCCGTAGATTCGTTCCTTCGCTTCGTCCGTGTGTCCGCCCAGCTTGCCGCCCGATCGTAGAGCTTGGATATCTTCTGTATCACCACCAAAGTTGTACGCGCCTCTGAAGCCCAGCAGGCCGCCGTCGGACGAACCTAGGCCTTCGATAGCGTATCTGCCGACATCATACTGAGCCAGTCCCAGGACAGTGCCTCCGTTGCGGAGAAACTTTCCTGAGACGGCGCTGAGCTGGAGTTGCAGCGCGGGGGATATCCTCTTCACGACGAGAGCTTCGAGCATGGACTCAGGGAGGTACAAACGGCCGTAGAGCAGGGAGGCTGCGGCCGGACTAAGAAGGGGGTAAGGCTTCGAGGTTCGAGGCGGGAGGTCGGCGAGCGGTCGGTACGAGCGCAGCAGTGCCGGCAATGGTACGGCATCGGATTGCGGGGTGAGGTGCGCGCGGAGGGGCACGGAGGAGTAAAGGTAGGAGATGGAGCCGTCGACTACGCCTACGGAGCCGAGCTGGTATGATGTCGCAAAGTGAGGGGTCGCGAGAGAGGAGAGTGTGAGGCGTAGGCCCTGCGGTGTTGGGAAGTTGAGTAGTGCTGCCGATGCCCTTCATGTCAGTGCTGGTCCAATGTGCAGTTCCCCAAATGAGCTCTGCGCATTTCGTCAAGCCTACCATCTGCAGTTGCGTTGAGCGTCGAGTACGAGTTGTCGCGGTTCCAGCCGGTGGCGTCGTAGAACGCGCTCTGCACATAGCTCATGAACTCGCGCATGTTGGGCGGATGTTCAAGATCGCCTCACAGAGCAACGGGCTCACGACTTGCTATTGTTGCAGAGACATTTGTTTGGTACCTCAGCGCTGGAAGGTTTTGTGCGAATTGATGCTCGATGTAGCTCCTATGACGATCGCTAGGTTCTGGGCAATGGAAGTTCTGGCATCGCCGGCTGCTTGGAGTGGGTCCGGTTCATTTTGATTATATAAGCCGGCTCACTCATCATGCCTGGTTGAGGTAGAACTTCAGCAAAGACAAGGGCATAGCTCTTGACGAGTTATCTGAGGACCAATTCGATTTCAATCGAGACATGGAGGACAAGGTTTCAATTCGAAATTCTTGATGGCTGTGAAGAGGGCGGATGTTCACGACCAAGTCGAGTATTCCATCTTGCTTGATCCACCTTTATCGTTCTGTGCAACAGCTCCATGTACAAGCATGGATGTTTCCCGATTGGTGGTTCTGACCATCAACTCCTTGAACAGGACTTGAACCTTGTCCTCTTCTTCTTTCTCTGGCGATGCGGATGATGATGGCTTGCATTGCTTCCCGATCATGTGAGGGAGTCCCGTCACGCAATTTGGTCCTACGTCGTCTTTCGCAGGCTTTATCTCAAGGCTGAGATCACTTGCCTTTTCCCTATTCTTGGAAGTCCGCAGTTGTGAGTCCAACAATCAGGAACTCGAGGGAGACAAATGCACCACGTAAAAACGCAGAGCTCTTCGGACGTCCGTTTAGATCAGTCTATTTGTTCCAGGCTGGGTCTCTTATTTTCCAATGACTATGGCAAGCAGCCACAAGTTGTCGGCAATGAGGTCCGCCAGCTTCAGAATTTCTCTAATTAATCATAAAGATGGGTGGATGGCGACCCTCGCATCCACGATAAGATGAAGGATTTCTCATCGCGACTCTCCATACGGAGAGATTATCTCAATACTTTGGAGTTCCAGAGCCAGTCTGAACATTTTTTCCTCCTTGAGTTTACTCGTGATACGGCGTTACCGAGGCTGGTAATATCGCGCCTTCACGTTCGGCAGTACTCACGTGCCGGATGCTTGGGAATCTGTCTTGCTTCATCCAGTTTAGTTCCTGAAGAGGCACAGCACATGGAAACAAGATGGACACTTGGTGAATCCTCCGCACCGATGGGACTAGGCCCACGGTCAATGGCCGCGATGCGCGATGTCTCGCCGGTCCCTGGTTTTGCAGGGCAGAACGCCGTCCAACAAGATGTGGATCCTGACATTATCGATTCACAGGTGTGATTGGACATGATGCTTGCTCCGACCAATGAGAAATACCCGTGGTCCGCCGATAACCAATGTTTGCGGAAGAAGCGGGGCTGAGGCATTGCTTTTGCAAGGACAGTCCTCGACGACCGGCCGGTAACTGAGCTTCAACCGTACCTCCAATATCTTTACCTGCTCCTTTTCCTCTCAAACTCAGTGACTCATATGGAAGATTCTCATTCACACTCTTTAGGGAATCTCAACATCTCAAAGAGCCCGAGCCCTTGACGCAGTTACATCCACGCCGTACACTTGCCGGCACAACCAACATAGACATGGTATTGTTAGCGCCCCTGAAAAGGCACAGTCCGACCAACGCAAACACAGTCTCCAACGAAGACGCCAACAGCGATCAACTTGTCTCAACAGTGACACGAAAAAGGGCCAAACATACCCGCACTCGTCTTGGCTGCGCGACTTGCCGGTAAGTGAGCCGATTTGTTGGCTGGATGCGGTTCTATCAATGCGGTCCATATGCTGCGCCGACAAGGCGCTTGAGAACAGCGTGAATTTGCAAGCTAAGTGAATCTTCTCCGGACACAGAATTCGCCATGTGAGATGCGGCTTGGAACGACCCTCATGCCTTCGATGTAGTTCTACAGGAAGAGTCTGCGACTTTGTCGAAGACTTGAGCAATGAACGGCGCAGTTCGCTCCTCGCAAAAAGCGCATACGTATCAATCGTACCGCGGCCCAATCCTAACGATGCCATCTATCAGCTAGCCCCGCAAACCGGTCGCTGGATCAACTTTTATCAAGGACACTCAGCTCCTGAGTTTGCTGGATACTTTGACGTGGAGTTCTGGAGCACCACCATCTTGCAACTAAGCTACCGAGAACAATGTGTCCATCAAATGCTCGTTGCCATTGGTTCCCTCCACGAGTCTTTGAAGTCTGGCCTCGCACAACACTCGGACTCGAATGCCGTTAGCCTGTATAAATACGCCGAAGCAGAGTACACGAGAGCTGTCAGTCTCCTCAATACGCATATGACCCATCGAGGATGGTCAGCTCTCGAGATTACACTCGTGTGTTCTATCCTCGGTATAATGTTTGAGTGGCTGCGTGGGGGCTATCAGGACGCTGTTCGACATCTTACAAGCAGCTTCAAGATCCTATCAACGTGGTTATCCCACACCGCCCCACCATCTACCACCACCTTTGGGTCACCAGGAGGCCACCTCATACGGAGTCAGATAAAGCCGATCTTCCATATTTTGGTCCTGCAATCAAGAATGTTGCCGATACCCCCCAGCGTGCCACCGAAGGTAGTCCAAGCCCCGGAGCAAATAATGCCTGAGTTTTCCAGTGTCGCTCACGCTCGGAATGTTCAGCTCGACCTCTTGACTTATGTTCTTGTGGTTCCGCCAAAAGACACAGGGTCCAAAGGGAGAACGCACCAGGTCGTGGCGGAACCATTGCGTCAATGGTCCGACAAATTTGCAGTCTTCATCTTACAACAGCCGCAATTAGCCTCCGATCCCTGCGTAAAAATACTAAAAGTATGGCGCATTATCACAGAGATGATTTCTATATCGCCTTTCTCTTCAGAGCCGGACTCTTCAAATGGGCTCATTATGCAACTCTCTACCTTTTTGGATGACATTGAGAGTCGGAAGATAGCAGTTGACATAGGAGCGGTTGCGATCTTCTATTACACCGCTGCGTACTGCCGTCATCCTGAAACGCATTGTCGAGCTATTGCTTTACTGAAGTCGGCAGGTGGACCATGGGGCCACCATGTTGCTATCAAAGCCCAACAAGAGTACGCCAGATTAGAGGATAATGATCCGAAACTTGGACCTCTTTGATCACCTAATTTCCCAAACAATATCAAAGTTTAACCTATTCCCAGTTCATTCGAATTGGATATATCTTGATGATAAAGGGGAACGCTGTAGTCTTCATTGACAAAATCCATACTTCATCAATCATATCTAAAACCCCCATGTCTGACTATTGAGGAAATCTTGACTGCGCCCATTCCGTTACCTTCTGGAAAATGAGCTTGGCGTCCTGCTCACTCGAGGACATCTCAGAGTAGTATCGTTGAAGATCATCCTCGGTTGGCAGTGTAGCTCTGTAATATGGAACGTTCATCTCGAAAAGTTGCCTGGAAAGCTCGCCGTAAATCTCTGGGTGGCCTTGAAGCGATAAGACAAGTCCAGAGTCGGACATGAGGATTTCGTTCTCAGGCGCCAATGGCTTGAAGCCGTTGGGTACATTCTGCACAAAGCGCTTGTGAAACTTTGTGATTTTCTAATGGGATTGAGGGCTTAACGACTGGAACCTAGGGATTGATCACAGATAATATGCTGCAGAGGGTACTTACCAGCGCATCCTTGCCAAAAATTGCTTTACCATCATCGTTCAGAGCGAGAACTTCCACGCCAACCTAGAGAACTAGCTTAGTATCTGTCTTATAGAGCCTCCATGTTTCCTGCGCAGTTCCTCAATACTCACTCTTGGATGTTCAAAACTCCCGACTTTGCCAGAAAGAGCTGTCGCAATTGCCTGATGACCCCAGCAGATGCCGAGAAGCTTGGTTTCGGTGACGTGTTGCTGCCTCACCACTTGTCGAATCCATTCCAGCGTGGTGTCGACCCAAGGCTCATAAGTCGCCTGGCACAGGTTACTCAGTCCGCCGGTGATAATGATGAGATCGTAGTCCGCAGGCGCTGGAAGGTGGCCGTCATCCTTCATTGGCCGATATGCGTCGATTATTGCATCCGGAACTTGTTGTAGGACGTTATCTCGGAACGACTGCAACATCCCTCTGTGTTTTGGCTCGTCGATCTCGTAGGCTTTGACGATGGCGACCCTGAAAGGTGTTGCTTGTGGTAATGAACCCATATTTATCCGTGATGTGTGTTCTTAAGCGTCCCTTATTTCGTCTGTTCTTAAGCCTGTGTGGTGTAAAGTCTATGGGGGGTGAAATCAAGTTCGAGATGTGTCGGTATTGCGGTGCGGGACACTCTTGATAAGAATGAAGTGGGCTGCTCCGTGTTCTTGACTCAAAGCCGTCGGAGTTTCGGACTCACAGATAAGCTAAGCGCGCTCCACCAGCCCGGCAAGGTGGGCTGGCTAAACTCGGAGTATCCACTTGACACATCTCCGGAAATCGGACACTGGAAGCTTAATCACGAGGCGCCCCGAATCCATAGAATTAGTAATGAGATGATGCTTGGTCCGCGTTATCTATCACATGGCGCTTTACGTCCACCAGTTATGAGCAAGTTTATCATCTGCCATGTGCGCCCTGCTTTCTAGATGGGCCGGTCATGCTTCTTAATGTTTCCTTGATGAAGCTTAGCCTCCGCTGTCCGTCCAGCTGGCCGCTGCGGGTCCTCCATTATAGCTTCCGCTTTGAGCCCTTGCATGAGTCAAAGAGAACCCCGCGGTCTGAGTATTGAGGTAAGCTTACGCGATAGCACGATCTAGCCAACGCTGTTGGTCCCTGCAGATGGATTGGAGTGATGTGGCCGAGGAAAGCGGCGAACAAAGAGTCTTCGAGTTGCCGTTCTTACCCCACTTTCCCGGTGCCGGATTTTGAGACAACACGTTTAACGGCTCCGATTACCGAATTAGGAAACTTTTCACCACATCATACGAACCAACTTGAACATCATGATCCAAAAACTTCTAGACACGCAGAGTAGGTCTGAGTAGCGCAATGTATGAATAGTAGAAACGTAGCTTAAAGAAGGACAGTAAGGGCACCGGGAGTCTTGTTCTACCCTGGCTACGGCGGCGTCGGAAGGAAGAACAGATTGTTACCCTCGAATTCTCCCCAGATAGCCTACCTACCTCCCCTATGTTCAGAGTGTAGGTACGGGTCAGCTAGGAAGCTTCATGGATGAGACAATCACGCTTGAAGACTGTTAAATAGAGGTAGGCCTTGCGCCTAGAGGGCGGCGATGGCCAGTCTGCTCGATGATGTGTATTTCTGTTTTTGTGAAGTTTGGCGTGGGTTGTGGTGCATCCTTCCGTCTTGGCAGCATTCATAGACCGCACCACATTTCCAAGACACGCCAACCAACAGCTAGGAAACCCCTACGTGATGCCTAGAGTTGTGGATCACCTATGTTCAATAAGTCACGAGCCAAGCCCAGCTTGCGGCCAAGCCCAGCTTGCGGCCAAGCCCAGCTTGCGGCCAAGCCCAGCTTGCGGCCAAGCCCAGCTTGCGGCCAAGCTGAATACTTATACTGATGTTGGCCCCTTGCCCTACTTTGATCCGTCTCGACGGGTTGCTTCCCATCAAATGTTGGTGCAAGATCGGGCCAATTTCTCTTTCAACTCGTTGGTTGCCAAGTACCGCCAATGCGACCCAGCCTTGCCAACTCATGCATCGCCTCAATTCGGGACTTTTGTATGCTTGTTGGTGCCACAGAAGGAAGGGCCGCTAATTACGATGCGTCGCCAAATGTCTTGGACGCGCGTGCCTTCTTAAGGTCGGCGGCGCCCGATCATGGCGTGCCTTGCGCGGATCGTCAATTGCCTTTCTTGTGCTCTTGAGCGATTGCTTCGGAGTAGTAGTTGTAAGAACAATGGTGCGGCTCACATCGCTCTTCGCACGAGCTCTTCCCGTTGCGGCATTTGCGGTCGCCGCTCCGGCTGCATCTACACCGCAGCTCCGGAGACAGGTCGCGGGTGGCGAAGCTTGTGCCGAGATTGGAAGGGTCTACGACGAAGCAATTATAACAAACACGACCGGTATGTTACGTAGCTCCTTTCTGCGAGCAAATACTATCAGGTCTTCTGTTGAGTACCAGGATATGGTCCGTCCTCGCATTCGCCCCTGTCGTGCCACGCGAAAGCTTTAGGCTGGGGGTGAAGGACCAACAGCGACTACAGACACATCAGGTGGAACATAGGCTGACGCCCTGCAGACGATACTGTGGTGAAGCCTTCCCTGGCATACCAGTGCCTTAGGTCAATCTCAGTGGACGTTGAAAGAGATACAGCGCTTGTTCGCTATTTGCGACCATGGCTTGAATATCAGAGTACCGTCGACATTCTTCTAGACCCTCCCGCAGAGTACCTTTACCCAGGCGTCGATATCTTTGGTGGCCTCGACAACATTACCCAGTCCCTCGAAAATGGAGGTTACGAGTCTCAAATTGACTTCACTGTTGATCTTTACAGACTGATCAACGTCAAGCCTCGGGATGGGCACTTGTCCTGGTCGCCTGTTCTGGGTGTATTGATCAGCTTTTCTACGCCAGCGTTGTTTATATCGATTTCGGAAGATGGCATCAAGTCGCCCAGAATTTACCTTTACTGTAAGTAGGGAATTCCATGATTGTTATTTCCCCTCTTGGCCATGCCCCTTTCTCTCACATGCGAAGGTTGGGAAGGAGGCAACGGTAGAGATCTAGAATTGCCATTCAGACATCACTAACGCAAGTGCTTCCTAGCTGACTACCAGAAGAGCACGGAACAAGGATATAATGCGTCAGAGGTCAAGTCCTTTGACACAGCCCCCATTGTTGACTACATTCAGCAGCGGTCTGTTGACAACTCTCGAGACCAGGATCCCGATGCAGCCTACAACGAGCAGCTGTATAGCGCAGCGCTAGAAAACGTTCTCGAGACGACAAGCGCTGGCAGGCATCTACACACAACCCTCAATGACGAAAGCGTGATCGAATTCGCCAACGGAACGGAGGCAACTGTCGTCAACAGAGCTCGCATTGTTGCAAATTTCTCCGGCATTACATCTGGTCAAGCTGTTCATGAGCGCTTTGAGGTACCGCTTGATGACGGCGAAGCCGAAGTCACCCTCGATACTACGAGAATTCCATTCTCTCCGGCCTTGGAGGGATATCCTGAACCTTCTGTCATCCACGAAGACAGGTATATCAGCGGCTACCTCTTCAACGAGTCGACTCTGAAAGACACTGCTGTACTGGCTGTGAATGTCTTCATGTCCCAAAACGGAACAGCTAGAACTGTTCTTGAGGCACTCGAGGATCCCATCGAGTTTGCTAGAGTTGCTAGCGAATTCGTCAACAGGAGCAAGAGCCAGAACAAAACCAAGCTCATCGTAGATTTGCAGGGTAACGGTGGTGGTCTTGTGGCCAATGCAATGAGCCTATATGCGACACTATTCCCAGAGGCCGGTGCAGAAGCGCACATGAATATGCGGGTTCGGGCGCACGCTGCTTTGAACTGGGTCGGAAGGACTGCCGAAAGACTGGGCGCAGACCTGAAGACCCTTCCTTACCCGGTTGGTTTCAATGGCTTCGTCGACGAAGACCTGAGAAACTTTACAAGCTGGGAGGACTTTTACGGCCCTGAGACAATCGAGGGCAGCAACTACACTCATGTTGTGCAACCTCTGGAAGTAGCCTACGCCCGTACCGGCTTGCCCGGAATCTTCGAGATCCCGGAGCCGTGGTTCAAGCCAGAAGACACCGTCATTCTAACCGATGGCCACTGTGCGTCTGCCTGTGCCTACATCGTCGGCATGATGACCCGGGAGCTAGGCATTCAAGTCGTGGCTATGGGGGGACGACCTATCGATGCGCCGATGCAAGCTGTGGGAGGAACCAAGGGCGGACCAGTCATTTCGCTGGGACCTTATCAGACCATTTATTCTGCTCTCGGGGCTTTCGTCAAGCCCCCAGAGGGAATCGATATGACGCCCTTTGCCGAGTCTAACCCCCCGCTCGCGGGCTTACCTACGGATACCTGGACCGTCAACTCAGCCAACATATACCTCGACGACGATCTCGATGGCGTCCCGGTACAGTTCAGATATGAGGCGGCGAATTGTAAGCTCTACTATACCTGGGAGACCTTGACAAACATGACCAGTCTATGGACCGTGGTGGCAAATGTCAAGTGGAATGGCGCCAAGTGTGTGCCGGGCTCGACCACCAACGACGATGACACCATAGGATCAGTTCCTGGGTACACAGACAAGGTTTTGTCCAGCTTCAAGTGGGCAGCCGGCCCTGGAGACGTGAATGGGGCATCAGGCGAGGGCAATGGAGATGGCGGAAACGGTGATGACAATGAGGGGAATTCCGGCGACGAGGATGAGAATGCTGCTGGCTCGCTGCGGGCTAGTTGGAAAATGCTGGCTTTTGTGCTGTCTATCTCTGCGATGCTGTTTGTCTTGTAATAGGAACCCGAATATCCTGATATAGTCGAGTGAATGGTGTATGCAAATCAAACATGTCTAACTCAATCTCTGTGCAAGTTGAAATGATTCGATGATAATTCCCATGCCAATGATGATGATGATGATGATGATGATGAATCGTTAAGTGACGACGTTTCGTTGCCTTGCCAAGATGCTGAAATCGACATAGGAGCTCACGTTTGGTTCATATGGGACTTTCACACCCTAGTCGAGCACGATGGACGTTGTTGAGAATGACCCGAGCAAAACTTTTTAGCACTTACAGACATCTTACTCGTAGTTATGTGGTGAATTAGACGCAGCTGTCAATGATGATGTCCGGTTCAAGGGTGTTGGCTTCGGAAAAAAACATCTCTTCGATAGGATTGGAGTAGGTAGGCCGCTATGGTGATGTCCGACTTCTGAAAATTTGATCAAAACATCTAGGCGAGGCAAACAGGCACAACCTGACAGTGATTATGTTTTGTTACTGGCAGCGTGAGTCTTCAATCATGTGCTCGGCATAAATGAACGCTGAAAGAAATGCATCCAACCCAACTTATTCTGGACAGAAGCAGCAACTCCAACCGCATTCCTTCGTCGGTCGAAATTCTCCTCCCCGTTGCACTATGTTTATGTGGCGGACAGCGGGCTTCCTAGCTTCTGCGTATGCGGAAATAGTTGAGCATATCAAAATGTACAAAACTCGATTCTGACAACTCTTCTTCCTTTCACCACAATCTGCCTGAAAGCTGTGTCTATCCAAGCCATCCGATGACTTTGAGAGTGGGGTTTGTTCGTCCTCAATCTCAATTCAGTCTTCCTACCAATAGCCATTCTCAATGGACTGGTTGAATCTCCTTTGCTCCCTCTTAGCCACTCCGGACCTGTCCTGGCACTTTCCATTCCACCACTCAGACTGAGAGTGTACCAACTCCCAATCACCCCATTTCTTTTCCTCTCTGGTTGATACAAGTACAATGTGGAGCTTCGGTCGTGCCTTCGACAGAACTCGCAGTACGCTGCTTGTCCAGCTCATCTTCGCGATACGAAGCTCCTTCAACTTTGGCACCCACTCCGGATGATCTGTCAGCGCCTCAAATACTATGTTGTGGCCCGTATTCGACTCATTTCTCGAGGCAGTACTGATGTGCAGATTTGTGAGGTCGGGACAATATTTGCACAGCGCAAGAAATGCCTTTTCTGTGAGGCCCGATGTGCCTGGGAGGGAAATGATTTTCAGCTTAGGACAGGCATGGGCTATCTTGATGACATCGTCGTCAGTAAGCTCCGTAGCAGAGTTGGTAGAATCATAGTCGACGTCGTGATAGTCGAAGCTGAATGAAGTGAGGCGTTCGCAGGTTTCCTTGAAGGAGAGCAGCGTGTCAATGTGTGCCCTGGCAATGTCGTCAGTTTTGGTGTGGGCCTCGCAGCTCTGGCAAGCCCCAGTATTCCATAGTCTCCCAACTCAGTGGGCAAGGCAACTCACGGCGTTAATTTGTCTCGAAACATCACCGCCCTCGTGGCATGGCCGAGCCATTCGACACGCTGGTTCTGCCACTCGCCATCAATTCGGAAGCAAGCGCTGACAGATCCTCTGGGTCCTGTGGGTCGCGGTGCTCTTGCGGTCTTCGGCTTGAAGGTCTTCTTCGGTGCCGGTGCCGTTTCGTTGAAGCTGAGATACTCATCGTCGCTGAAGTCATCGGCGTCGAATTGCACAGCAGCTGCGGCGTCTGAGGCAAATTGAGATACAGGTTTTCCTTGATCGAACTGCGGCTCGGCCTTGACTGACATGGGATATTCTGCCTTGATGTTGCCCGGGGTGAATGGATCATAGGGTACCTCCGCATATGAGCCGGACGCGAAGTGGCCCACCAGTGTCGCGTAAGACGCGCCGGGGAGAGCTGGTGGCCCGCCCTGGAAGCCCGGCCTCACTCCGTACACTGCAGCATTCGCTGCCTTCCTGGCCTCGTCCGACTTAGCTGTTCGCGTCGGCGGCATGTTGATGTTTGTGTATCAATTGTGGTCATTCAGGTCGGAAATTCTGGAGAAGTCAGGCATCTATGTTGACGGAAAGGGAGCCAGGGTGTGCAGATTATCTAAGTTTGATGACAAGCCCGTGTGTTTGGACATTTCGGAACGAATATCCACAATACTGATGTAGTACAGTGGGGACCCATTAGTGTCCATGCAGCGCACAGTATCCCGCAAAATCAGGGATTTTCAACAGTAAAAACAAGCATTAACCATAGCAATAAAATAAAAATAAAAACATAATATAATATATTAAGTAATAATTTATTATATTATAAAGTTATATTAGGTTTTATACTAAACTCGCTATATTATTAAATCTTTTTTAAATATAATAAGATAAATCTTATTTATAGTAGATTATAGGGCGTTAAGAGTGCGAATAATACTGTGTTTATTAATACGTTTTAAAAAATTCGGGTACTAGTTTTTTAACTACTAATTAAGTAATAGAGAAAATTACGAAAATTTTATAAAAATAATTTTTATATTATTTTAATAGTAAAATATTTTTCAGAATTTTCTTAGCTATAATTATTACTTAAGTAGTAGAGATATTACTTATATTAATATAATAAAGTTAGTGGGTTTACGCTGACGTACTGGGTAGGTGTATTGAAACTAATGGGTCCTCACTGTACTCGAACATAAAGTAGGCAGCTTTCAGACAAACAAATCAAATTGCCGATGCTTCAATCCAAAACTCTTTCTCAAAGTAGACTTAGACATAGAGGCACTTCTCCTTCTACGCCGGGTTTCTTGTATGGTTACATGCAGGCACCCGTGCGCGCCGTGATAGGCATATTAATTACTACAAGAACCTATACCACAGGCGGTTAAGAACGGCGATTGAAGCTTAACGTTCTGATTTCAACTCTACCGAGATCGCTTGGTTAGCGCTAAAAGTCAGGACAGCTCGAGCGAAGACAAGAGCGAAGTGCTGAAGAAGGTATGAGGGTCGCGTCGGCCTGACAGGACATACAGAATAAATTGCGGTGACAGCTCAGAAAGCGCTGGGGGATCAATGGCTTAAGAGTCACCTTGAGGCCGGCCATCAGGAGGAAGAGGACAGAAGACGAAGAATATAGGTTGTTGAGAAAAAAGAAACCCTTTCCAAGCTCAAGACAGTCACTCATACTGTGATATTGTCGGAACGAGAAAACAGAGCAGTATTCAAAGCTGCATGCAGGCTGTGCCATCCACTCAAGTAAAGGGCAACACATATCTAGGCAATAGGCGATTGGTAGCTTGTTTAAATCAATGTCACAGGCACTTATAGTCTCTCCATACTTGAAGCTATGGGATAGCATTACTTGCTGCCAGTGTGCAATACGCTCATGTGGCCCCTTGAGACTGATGCGATCCGGAACCTCCCAATCATGCCTCATAACAGACATTTGAACCTTTCTGTGGATAAAGCGATAAAGAGCCGAAGCCAACAGGGATGTCTCGTCTATAAGCTGTCTGACTTGTTGGAATGTACTTAGATTCGTAACCTACGGGCAGCTGCTTCACTCGGCCGCCCAATGTGGTCATACCGTCATTTGATGCGGCACTCGCGGTGGGCTGCCGAGTTTCAGGTATTTGCGCTTGATCGCTCATGAGAGTAGTGCAAGCTATAAGGAGGCGCTCAATGAAGTAAGTTGAGGAAATCTGGCGAACGACCTGATGAGCAACCAATAAATTGAATGAATCAATACAATCTGGATCGAGATAACAAGCCTTATGAAGATTTGCTGAGAAGTGTTTATCCAAAGGCGTGCACAAAAGTGGCCAAATCCCAGAATAGGCATCGTAAGGGGCGAACAACATGAGACTGGGGAAGTGTACTAACGTCTTCAGGGATTGTGGTCGATTCTCGCCGGACAATTCGCAACACCAGGTACATGTAGTGTTGAAAGCGACTGGGAGGAAATATTCACATTAACGAGGCACCAACGGTGGACGCAGTTCTTGATATGGTTCCTGTGGTCAACGGCAAAGTCCTCCTCAACAAGCTTGACAACTTATTTCTGTCAAGTACACGAAAGTGAGCTGAGAGCCCTTTGTTCATCAGTCTTGCGTACTGGCCGGCCTGTAGCACATCCTTGACGACGCAGTGCGCCCACTGGGTATTCATGTCATAGCGACGCGAAGTTAATGACGTCCGAAGGAGTCGCCGAACTAAAACCATGACTCAAAAACTTTGACTTTTCCACGATCACTATGAGGACCGTGGACTGTATCAACCTGCCTCGAGTAGTGCTTGAGCTTTGGAAGACGTTATATGTAATACTGCAGAGAACTACTAAAGAAGAGCAGTCCAGTACCTGACAAGTAATATCGGTTGCATCAGCCTTTTCACCTCACTCATTCTCTTTCTACCACATTCGCTTCATACCTTATAGACTTGCATCGCCGATAACATGAAGTCCACCATTATTCACGCTGCTGTTATGATCTTGTTTGGTACTGCGTCGGCTGTTGAACTAGCCTGCTACGGCACTGGAGTCCCCTCGGCTATCAGAAAGGGCGATGTCGAGTACGCCATCAAGAATCGGTCCGACGAACTAGGTATTCCTGGAGGCACCAAGTTTTCGCTCCGTTGGAAAACTTGTACCGATCCTGAGAACAGTCCTAAGGACATTGCTTTTATTACAACACCCAGCAGTAAGTGGTCATCTTAGCTTCAGAGATCGCGCATCGCAAAGTTTCTGTCTGTCCCCAGATGCTTGCGCTCTCTGAACATAGCCCTTGCGAACTAATGCAATCTAGTTACTCGAGAAGGTTCTACTAAGTTGGCCAATGGCGTCGTAGCGTGCAGCTTAGATTCACCCCCAGATTCTGACTGTTAGATGTACCTAGGAGGCGATTTGGGATGCCGTCTTCAGTTTGAACAACAAACAAAAATTGTAGCAGCTCACTTCCAGATATCTGACTAAACATGAATAAATTTTCTGATTGAAAGCGCACTGCCTACGTCATGATGAATTTAACAATCTTTCGCGTCTTCTGACAAACGTCACACTCAGAGTCGGTGCTAGATTGTGGTAAATTGACACTTACCAGAAGAATCGTCAGTTGGAGGCGACCTCTAGCATGGCTCCAAGATATGAGAAGTAACTGTCAGTGAGACATCAATCTGACCACACAACGTCTTCCCTTCTGTTAGGTACGCTATGAGAATTTGGCATATCAGGTTCAGCCCGTCTGCACAAGGATTGATATCCCAGTGCTCTTACGAAGTGCATGTGGATTTATGATTCAGTAATAAAGATAGGAGAGTTGCGGACATCTTGACAAGAAAGAGGTTCTCATTAGAGACAAATCATATAATTAAAGTACGTATGCATTGCTTACAAACAGTCACTTGCGACAGGGTCAACAGAGATGGGATTGTGACTGATGATGAGGCCATGATAGCATGATCTCGTATCTCGACGCTTAAAGGTGATGCATAAGCGCTGTGATTGTGTTGTTGAGGGTTCCAAATGTTTCAGTCTCTGATCCATTTCAATCGACCTTTGAACTTGATATGGAGGCTGGGCCATTGTCACAGACAAGAATAAGCAACCGACAGACTGCCAATCGGGTTTTATGCCCAGTCCACTGTTGTCCATCGAACCATACGTAGCAGTCCTAACTTGTAGTTAGCTGCGTCACAAGTAGCGCTCGTCCTATCGAGACGGGCGGTGCAGATCACAACACTTGACTAGTACTTAAGTAGTTACTCTATCTAAGTTAAGCGACTTATCTATTACGAAGTTTAGAGAGCAACCCCGCCATCCAGAACATGTTCCAGGGGCTACTTCAAGTGCCCACCTTCATTCTAGATACATGACCTCTCTAATTGGCCTAATAACATGAATGGGCAGAAGAGTATGGGGTTTCAGGGAGACCACCCAAGAGTTGGCATGAGTCCGCATTAGTAGCCAGCTAGACGTTAGGTACAACCGCACAATTCCCTTCATTGGTCTGGCCTAGAGGCTTTAGGTCTCAATACAAGCGTCTTCGTAAGCATTGCATTATTAATACGGGCTGCCGTATTTGGTCAATTTTGTTCTCATACGAGCAAATGATGACATTTGTGCAAATGTGCGAATTCGAGACATTTGACCTAGGGATTTCATCAACCGCGAGTGTGAGCCTGTGTCAATGACAACGAACCAAACCCGCCGAAGTATTGATTCAATTGACCCAGCGCCATGGAGTAAGATGCCCATTGGACTTAATTTACCGTCGCGCAGATAAGTAAGCTGATAAACGCCGCTGCGGCCTGCCAGGAGAAAGTAGGGATCGAAGCTACTTAAGCTCAATGGAGAGATACTACGGAGATGAATTACTATCTGCGGAGACTCCCTTGTAGGGCTAGTGCGGCTTCTCCCGATGTGGTGTGTGAGCCGTGGGAGCTCACAGCAAAAAAAGTTAAAAAGAATCAAGCACTCTAAATCTGAAACGACTCGGATGCCCGGCTTAGAGGGTTCCACTCGCCCTTTCGGATCCGGCACGGCGTAAACGGCACGCAAGCCTGGCCGGGCTCTGCCCCAGAAAGATCGTCCTCATCCAAGCAAAGCCAAGACTTTGGCAGCTTGGGTGAAGGAAACAAACCAACTTCATGTCTTGAGAGGGGGCTTCGATTCCAAGATGCAGAGGAATCATCAGCGTGGGGTCAACAACAGGATATTGAGTTAAGCATCGTTGAATGCTTCAACTATATCTAAGATTGCAACGGTCGAACCTTAACCTAATCCTTTGGGACTTGATGATTTAATGACACAATTCCGGGAGTGCGCTGATTTCGTAAAGTAACGTGCTCATTTACCCGCGTGGTTGGTCCAATATTTGCCCACTGCGCCGCATCCATCCCTTTGCCTCCCCGGGAAGTCTAACCAACAAAGACACAAACATCAGACGAACCGCCAGATGAACCGCCGGGTGAAGTGGCGAACCACCAAAAGAACCACTCTAGAACGCCGCCAAGGAAATGAAGGAGGAGAAACCAAATGAAGGGAGAGCAGGCAATATCCCGGTAACACCACCAGATCGTGCCTCGCGTGTCCACAAACAAGCAATTCTGCCCCTCACGTCACCTCCCACGGGGGCCAAACCGGTGCGAGAGGGCGATGGGGCGATTCAGCGGGTGCGGTGGCCCCACGAATCCCATCCACATAGCAGGGATCTCGACCTTCACCGTTCCGGCCAGTCGGCACCATGATCAGTCTAGGTTGCATTGGGACGGCAATCTCAACTCCAGGAGTAACACGAATATAAGACCTCGAGCCAGACTTGCTATTTCGAAGAAAGAATACCGCTGTTCGTTGCATCCCACCAAGTTTCTTCTTGTCCCTCGTTCAGGGCCTTACACTCTTTTGCATCACCACGTTCATTCACAAAACTTTAGTCACTCTTTTTCAGACTTCGACACACACTCTCTTTTTACCCTGAATCTGGAATTCATCATGAAGGGACTCATCCTCAGCACCGCTCTTGTCAGCGGAGCCATGGCCGCGGCCGGCCCCTACATGCCCTGCGGCGGCAAGGGATTCACCGGCGAGACGACCTGCGTGTCCGGTTACACGTGCACAGTCCAGAACGAATACTACAGCCAATGCGTTCAAGGAAGCGCCGCCGGCGCCGTCAGCGCCCAGGCCCAGGCTACCACCCTGAGGACATCGACGAGACGGTCTTGTAAGTCCAAACCGGCTTACGCCAGCGACGTCGCGCCGCATGTGCCCACGACGACTAGCTCGCCTTCTTCGACTTCGGCCCCCGCCGTCGTTTCCGTGTCATCATCCGCGAAGCCCGTTGACACCAAGCCAGCTTCGTCGACGTCTACTCACGCCGCCTCGGTCGTCATTCCCGTCAAGTCTTCGAGTGCCCCCGTCAAGTCTTCGGCTACTTCTGCCAAGCCCTCTGCTGCTGAGGTGAAGCCTACCACCACTGCTGCTAAGCCCTCGACTACCGCGGCTGCTCCTGTCACCACGAAGGCTTCTTCGTCCTCCAAGGCTGCCACCCCTACCTCTGCGTCTGCCCCTGCCGCGTCCGTTTCTTCGGCTCCCGTCAAGAGCGGAAAGTTCAAGTGGTTCGGTATCAACCAGTCCGGCGCCGAGTTCGGTCCCGGCTCTCTTCCCGGTACCGTCGGCAAAGACTACGTCTTTCCTGACACCAACTCCATCACGGTGAGTCATTCAGAAATCGGAAGGTAGATACTTGGCCTGAAAACTTACTTACGTGCCCTAGACCCTCCTGAATGATGGATACACGACCTTCCGTGTCAGCTACCTCATGGAACGTCTCGTTCCCAGCGGCCTCACCGGCACATTCGACGCCGCCTACCTCGCCGGCCTGACCAAGGCAATTGAGCACATCACCTCCGCCGGCGGGTACGCCGTCCTCGACGCCCACAACTACGGCCGTTTCCAGAACAACATCATCACCGACACCGCCGCCTTCAAGACCTACTTCACCAACCTGGCCACGCAGTTCAAGTCCAACGCCAACGTCGTGTTCGACACCAACAACGAGTACAACTCCATGGACCAGGACCTCGTCCTCAAGCTCAACCAGGCCGCCATCGACGGTATCCGCGCCACCGGCTCCGAGAACTGGATCTGGGCCGAGGGTAACTCCTGGACCGGCGCCCACAGCTGGACGAGCGTCAACGACAACATGAAGGGCCTGACGGATCCTCTCGACAAGACCGTCTACGAGATGCACCAGTACCTCGATAGCGACAGCAGCGGTACCTCTGCCGACTGTGTCTCCGCCACCATTGGAGTCGAGCGTGTCAAGGATGCTACCGCGTGGCTCCGCACCAACAAGAAGGTCGGTGTTCTCGGCGAGTTCGCCGGCGGCGCCAACGCCCAGTGCAAGGAGGCCGTCGCCGGTCTGCTCGACTACCTCCAGGAGAACAGCGACGTGTGGCAGGGAGCGGCGTTCTGGGCCGCTGGATCGATGTGGGGCTCTTACATCTTCTCCTTTGAGCCCGAGACGGGCACTGGATACAACTACTACAACGAGCTGTTGAAGACGTACCAGTAGAGGGATGGGTAGAACCGCGATAGCCCAAGGCGGCTGGACTAACTCCGAGAGAAGTTGATTTTATTTCTTCTGTATAGAGTAGGACCTTTTCGGGACGTTTCAAAGGCGCTTGGACGGGATAGTGGGTGACATCTTGGAGATGTCGTGATGGCTTCAATTACCAAGAGGTCAGGACCCGTTGCCTTAACCGACCCGATTACAAATTCGCAGCGCAAAAACCATGGAGACGCTCGTGCAGCCGACCAATTTCGATTCTTGTATTTAAAAACTCACTATATTTCATATCGCTTTCGACTTGTGGTCCTTCTTTTTTGATTCGGGTGCATCATTCGTTGCAACGATTGTGATTGATCCGCGAGATTTATGTCGCGTATTCCCATCCCCCACTTAAGACGCCTTTAGTAGGAATCCCCCTTCTTTATGTTTCAGTCACTTTCGATGTTCCTGATGTGTGCACTGAAAGCTTTGCTGAGATCAGTCAAAATGCCAAAGTCCCACTTGATGGCACACGCGATTTCCCCTTAAGCTAAGGTGATGCGCGTTTGGAAATCCACATGCAGGTACCTACGGCCACAACCAACCAACGGTAAGATCTGGCCAAGAATTAATCCAACAGAGTACCTGACAAAAGCCAAAGTTCCGAAGGGTCTGACAGGCTGGGGGCCGGGTGCAACGTGTCGCGATTGTGCAACGATCAGGTTAGGTGTCACCGCGGGGGCTTAAA